CCACTTCATTCATCCCATATCACATTCATCATTCCATCCATCTATATATCACCACAGTCATCAAAAAATGCAGTCATTCTTTCTCTTTTAATTATTATTGGTTGACAAGGCTAATGCATTGATTTACTGCTTCAAACTAAGAAATAATACATTACAGTTCAAACTAAGAAATAATACATTACAGTTCAAACTAAGAAATAATACATTACAGTTCAAACAAATTTAAAACATGTACTGTAAAATTTTGCACTCTTTGCAAATCAAATGTTCATCTGTGCCTGGTAATGTAAACAAATTATGCACAATACAATTTACAGTGTACTGAAAGTATAATAAAAAAGTAACATTGTTTGTGGATAGTTCAATCTCGGTGATTTAGTCACCTCCAGAATGCCATGCATATAGTAGTCATTATCAGGTGTGGATCAGAATAATAGCCCTGGTAATTAAGTTCATTTACTGATGCTCTTTCATGTTTCAAACCATTGTCTCGTGTTTAGATTGCAGTCTGGGGATAACACCTTTATTTGGGGATAATACTTTTGCTAACAATGAAAATTTCTAACTTTAAAACGCTGATAAATTGCAATCAATAACAGATTGTTGTTTGTACACTAATTTGCCATGTTTTTACCATGCGGTATTGATGTAACTAACGTGTTTTGGTCACTAAGTCTTTAATCCCTATTTAATGGAACAGAAGTAATTCAAGTCTGTATCTTTTTTTTTCTTTGTGGAGATAAAATAAAATGTGCACTCCTGTCTTCCTTCATCTCAAGTAGAAAGAGTAAAAACACAACCATTGGCACTTTTCATTGATGTGCAAAATAGTTTAAATATATTATACATATTGTTTTGTTTAAAACTAACTTTTAGATTGGGGGAAATTATAGAAACTGGAAGCAAATTTGGATCAAGATTATGGGGTTATTCAATTTCCTATGAATGAAAACATTTCTGTGAAAAGTGGTGACACTCCTGATAAGTGAGATCAAGGTAGCTTTTCCATTTGACTATTTATAGTTTCAACTTGCAGTTTGATAAATCTTATAGATTTCACTGATTTTAGCTCAAATTAGAAGATATTTTGAGTGTTAATGCTATGAGGATAATGTGATTACTATGAAAATATATCCAGTCATTAGTTAAACCAGACAAAAAAAAAGAAAACAAGATTTTTCACAAGTTTAAACATTTATATTCCTCTTCAATGTTCTTAAAAAATGTACAAAATACTGAAACCCCAAAGAAAATATCATTAAGAAAGTAAGCAATGAATATGAAATGTGATTGCAAGGAGTCTAATTTCTTGCAGTGTCTCCAATGATCAAGTGATTTTTGGCGCAAATCCTCCCAAAAAATCAAGAAAAATTGTTTTGGTATAGCCTTATTGTTTTTCTCACTTTAAATAAAATAAGTGTTAGTGCCAAGAAGTTTTATAAACATTCTAAGAATTGCAATTTTTTTGAGGTTGGTAAAAATAGTGAATGATTGTGACTTTTGTTGTTGTCCCCAACTTATTTTCATGTACTTGATTTCAGGGACAATTTAGCATGCATAATAGACTTGTTTGGGGTTCTCAAATTTTCCCTGGTTGCTTAGTTACCATGCATGAAGGGAGATTCAAATAAACATGGATTCACTTCTCGTCAGCAGAAATACATATTTATAGGCAGTTATTTTACCAGCTTCAATTTTGTACTGCACACACTGAATCTGTTTTGTAGAAATCCAAATTACTTTTAAAACCTCACAAACATTTCATATAGAAAACAAGTTTTACATTCATACACTCAAAATGAATATGAACAAAATATCATTTATGTCCGTATGGTATTCATACAAGTAAAAAAAAACGATTCAAACAGGCTCACAGGCAATCGTTTGTTTTCTGTAGTGAGTGTGTTTAGTTTGGTGGTAACCATGGAACACATCAGAAACTTAAAACTTATTAATATTCTGCGCTGATAAATGAATCTTGCTGCATAATGTTTTGCCAGTAGACAACAAGAAGCAACAGGGAAAAACTCTTATCACCTTTAGAATTTTTTGAACTATAAAATTAGCCAGGTATTCTCTCAGACAAACATTGGTACCATTTATAAACTACCATATTATCTAAGCTTTCAGAAGATGTATAGGTAGTTATAGTAGCATGCTAAGTAACTTTCAGAGAATGTCAGAGAATTTTTAACTCTGTAGCTACTTAAATCGATTGAAATCAGCTTTTCCCATCTTTCACAAATAAATCTGCATCATTTTTTGCATATTTGTTTAACAATTTTGATTGAGATATGTAGCCAATAAAAAAATTCTGTCCATTAAGTCAAAAATTAATAAATAAATCTTGGAAAAACACTTAAACCAATTGTGGCTTTTGAAGAGCTAAGACTGATTCCAGTTTTACCACTAATTGTTATTATTGATCAATATTTTTAAATGTACAAGTTTTCCTTGACTACATTTTCAGTCATGAAGGTTTGTTTTGCCTCGCTCTGTGTTATTTGATGTTTTTCTGGTTAGTCCTGGAGTACAAGCTTTCTAACGACTCACCATCAAAGGTAAACAACAGTTTAATTGTTTCAAATTTATTCTACCATTCCGGAACCTGATCTCAGTTTTGTATGGAGGGGTTTGTTCAACCTTGACTAAAACACCAGACATTATAGAGCCTAGTTGCAAGTCATTTTGTTTTTTCTGTTCAGATTCCAAATGGCTTCCTGAAGGCCATTTTGTTTAACAAATTTTGTTCCAGAGCTATATCTCAAAATTTCCTGACCAAACTTTTTCAAATATACATCATAATGCACAAATAATCATTCAACAATTCAATTCAAGATGGCAGAATAACAATTCATCATAAATTAATCATTTCAAAAATTACATGGATACTTGATTCATTCAAAAATACTACAAACATTGGACAATATGGGACCCTGATGCACACCTGTTTGTTTTTGACTCCCGTGTGCGAAGCACAAAAAGGGAGTCTTTGCAGTTAGTGTGTGTGTATGTGTGTGTATGTGTGTGTGTGTATGTGTGTGTGTGTGTCCGTCTGTTCCACTGATATCTCAAGAACCATACATCAGTTTTTGATGAAACTTGGTGCATAGATGCTCTGGGCCAATGCGCAGATTTAATTAGGTTTTGGTAAAAATCCATGCATATTAATTACCTAATTTGCATGATAATTAGCTAATTTTTAGCTGTTCCACTGATATCTAAAGAACCACTCATTGGATTTTGATGAAACTTGGCACACAGATGCTCCAAACTAATGCACAGATTTGATTAGTTTTGGGTAAAAATCTGTGTAATATTAATTACCTAATTTGCATAATGATTAATCAATTTTCGGCTTTTCCACTGATATCTCAAGTACTAATCATCACATTTCAATGACACTTGGTACATAGATGTCGTAGGACACTGCACAGACCTGATTGTTTTTAGGGTAATACGAGTACATATTAATTACCTAATTATAATTAATTAATTTTCAGCTTTTGATATTTCAAGTAGTAATCATTACATTTCAATGACACTTGGTACATAGATGTCATAGGACACTGCACA